CGTAGGCCGACGCGGCAGGAGACGCCCACGCCCACGCAAACGTACCTGCCGACGCGGCCCGCGCGGCCGCTCGTCATCACCGTGCGGTCGTCGCTCATCTTCGCGAGCCTCGACGCCGCGGCGTTCAACGCCGACGCGGCGGCCGCGGCGGAGTTCGCGCGGCTCGTCGCGCGCGCGAGCCGCGACGTCGACGCGCGCGACGTCTCCGACGTCCGCGCGACGGCCTGGACGAGCGACAGACGGCGGCTCGACCGGCGGCGGCTCGCGGCGGCGGCCAAGGTCGCCTACGCCGCGGAGGTGTCGACGTTCGCCTTCGGGACGAACGCGGGGCCCGAGGCCGAGACGGCTGCGGTGCTCGCCGACTTCGAGGCGGACCTCGCCGCCGCGGTGTCCGGCGGCTGGGCGGCCCTCGTCGAGAACGTCACGGGCGACGCGAACGCGTCCGCGTGGCTCGCCATCGACGCGGCCGCGTCGCTCGACGCCGTCGCCGCGAGCTACTCGAACTTCACGTCGCCGTCGCCGTCCGACGACGACGGCGGCGCGCCCTGGGACGTCTTCTACGGCGTCACCGCCGCCGTCGGCGTCGTGGCCGTCGCCGCGTCCGTCGCGACGACGGCATGGCTGCGGAGGGGCTGCGCCGCGCGGCTGAAACCCGCGCGGCGCGTCCAGCCCATCATCCCCGAGGCGAAGCTCGAGGGCTACAAGCCGCCGGCGTGGGCCTTCGATTAAACCAAGTCGAGGGGGGCGTATACCGAGCCAACAACACGAGCGAGTGGCGTCGAAGAGAGACGTGGCGGCGGCACGCTGGCCGTATTCGCGGACGCGCGCGGCGACGGGCGCGCGCGCGCGCGCGGGTTTGTGCGTCGGTCGAGCAGCGAGAGTTTCGGCGGGGGCGAGGCGCGGCGGACGGCGAGCGGCGTTTTACGGCGCGAGGAAACGGGCGTATTCGGGCGTCAAAGTGTCCAGTGCAGGGTACTTGGGGGTACTTGGCAATGGTCGCCGAGAGACCCGCACGATTTGGACTTGGGCGTTTTCAGAGAAGTGGTGGGAGTCGATGAGTCGTAGTAGTAGTCGTCCGAGTAGTCGATCACTATGACAATAAAACCCGCACGAAAGCGGCTTGGTTTCTTCTGGAGTAGAGCGTTGCGTCGAGAGACGCAGATGAGAAACCCGCACAAAAAGGCACGGATTTTTTGTTTTTGGGTTGGGTTGGTTCGCTCCAATTGGAGCTGTATTGGTTTTGTGTTTGGGTTGATTGGGGGGGAGCGCGAAAGAGATGGATCGACGTGCAGCTCGACTCTCGGAAGAGGGCGCACAGAAGCTCGCTGTCTGCTTTCACATTAACAAATCGCCGGAACAAGAGGCTGAATCTCAGCAGATCGTAGGACAAAGCCTACTCTCATGCTTACAATACCCCGTTCCATATTTAAGTCGTCTACAAAGGATTTATCCCTCCCAACATTCGAAATTGCGATGGAGTATGATGCTCGGCCGAAGCCTATCGTGATGCGTGTAACATCGGGAGAGGTGAATATCGTCGCTTTCCAGCATGGATTCTGACTTAGAGGCGTTCAGTCATAATCCTACAGATGGTAGCTTCGCGGCACTAGCTGTTCAGCTAACCGCAATGACCAAATATCTGAACCAACGGTTCCTCTCGTACTAAGTTAGATTACTGTCGCGACAACCGTTCATCAGTAGGGTAAAACTAACCTGTCTCACGACGGTCTAAACCCAGCTCACGTTCCCTGTTAGTGGGTGAACAATCCTACACTTGGTGACTTCTGCGACACAATGATAGGAAGAGCCGACA